GGAAGAAGAAGAAGAAGAAGAAGGAAAAGAAAAGAAAAGAAAGGAAAAGAAAATAACGCTCATCCTAGAAATTGAATTCTTTTGCCTGGGGAAATATTCTTTATCGATACGTACACGCTTTCCCCTTGTACTTGACAAATTCTGCTGCTCGAATTCAATTCGAAGCTTACCGTGGAGACTGAGGAAGTTTGTATTCGTTTCACACGTGTGTGGTAAGTGGTTCAACATGTCAAAAATCGATCATGAATTTTACCTTGTTCCAGACTTTAATGTAACGAGCGACAAATAATATCGTAATACTTTAACGCCGAGGAATGAAAATATTCGATCACGTTAAATTTTGAAATAACGAGCTTTACGCTTACGTTTCAGATTATATTTCGACAATTTCTCCATTATATTTGAAATTAATATTCAATACTAATTTTGTTCACAAGAGTTTCGAAATATTCTTTAACTTTTTTTTTTAAATGCTCGGAAACTTTCGTTCGCCTCGAAACGAGCCTGACACCTTTCGATGCAAGTTACTCGGAATTTGACTAAAGTGTCCTTCTGTCTCAAACTGTTTATTCTTAAATTTTGCTGTCCGGCCGGACAAGGTCTAAACGAAGGTTACGAAGGTTTTGTCGACCGGTGAACAGATTACGTAATTGAATAACGATTACAAAAGTGTTTTCGGTCGATGGTTTAAAGCTGAACCAAATCAAATGGAAATTAGAGAACGACTCTGTTACTTCTGTTATGTAAGTGCTTCGGCAAAAAGAGAACAGGGCGGAGGGAAAGAGTGGCGACTTTATCAAGCCGAGGAAATTGTCTTCTGCAACTTTGACAGAAGCAGAAGAAGCTTTATTTAGAAACACGCTCGGTAAGCGCTGCCGAGCGCTCTTCAGGGACTCGAAAAATGGGACAACGTTTTAAATCAATCGTCGTTCCTAGTGTACAGTTCCACTGGCTTTGTTTTTCTTTTCCCTCTCCGTGATTTAGGATCTCTGTACGCGAATGGCTTTGAATAGAAAATTCACTCTCTCTCTCTCTCTCTCCCCCTGTGGTCAACTTTCATAGCGGAGACCATCCGGTCGCTGTTTTTATCGCTTTAGGAAATTTCACGTGCGATGAGTAACTTGGCAGAGCGTAGTTTATCAAATATTGTTAATAATGAAAGAGTTCTTTGGACGATAAATTTTCGAGCAGACAAATTCGTGGATATCAGGCTACGTTATCGCAACAAGATATTTCTAATGAACGAGCCACGCATTTTTGATGAACGCAGTTTCCGAAGCCGACGAAACGAGAAACTAATGAAACTCCTGAGCGACGAAGAACTCTGAGATACGTTTATTTTCTGTTAAAAGGGACTAGGAAAATTGTTTCGAGGGGATGATAAAACGAGGTCTTCTCTCTTTTCTAGGGAGATAAGCGCGCCAACACGCGTACTCTCATTAACATTTAATTAACTACGTAATTCTTTTAATATGAAAAGCTTCGCGAGCGAGAGAATGAAGGAGGCGACAAATTTTCGTTCGTTTCCCGTTTATATACGAACTGCATGTACGAGGCAAAGTGCACGACGAAAGTGCAAAGAAAGAATCCTTCTTCTTTTCTAATGCAAAAGATTCTCGTCATAAAGTCAGATGCTTTTCCTTTTATTAATCTCGTCATCTTTGTTCCCTTCGTCGACTGAACTCATAACTTCGAGACTACGCAGTCGGGCATACGTGCCTTTCAGCCGGCAACAGGAATTCCGAGCACGTGTTGCGATCGAGCTTTACGATCGAGTGGAAGTGTCAAAGAAATGAACGATCGACGAGCAACAAACCAGATTGATTACAAAGATGAAATCTTTGAATCTGCGTCAGCCTAGGTGTCAAGTATCGGTACTAACACTGCAACATCATTTTAGAACTCGGGAGTTACAGTCAGTTTGTTAACAAAGTAAAATTTTACGCGTTATTCGATTCGATATCGGGCTGCGAACGTTCATGCAAATGAATATTTTCACTTTTTCAACACGATCGAGGAAATAGAAAGCGATAAATTGAAATGATGGAACACATATTATTCTTATTTCGCGGTAAATTTCTAAATTTAATGATGTTGGCAGTTATTAAGCCACTATACTACAGCCATAAATTATTATTCGTTTCTCGTCGTAACACGCAACTAAATATTAATACACACGTGTACAAACCCACTGCTATTTCATTTCCGAATTAATAAATAAACATCACCCGCGGAACAATCTCCATTAATTACCATAATCAACCCGAAGCTCACTTTATTCGACAGAATAACACTCCCAAAATTCTGCTTACAACTTACTACAAATAAAATATCCACAAAAATTGACATACTTATCCACAAAATTCGCTTGGAAACCCGATTAGATCGGATTAAAATTACCAATACTTTGGACCGCTGTAATCTCAAAGATAACGATTGAAGAGCAACGAAAGTGGACTTGGTGGAAGCGCGGAAGCCTCCCCTTTGAAGCAGTCTTTCATTTATCCCGTTACGACTTTCGGTTCCGGAGATATTGTCGTTTGAAGGCAACTGTAATTTTTAATCGTTTAGTATCTCCGTCCTTGTCGCACGCTAGCCCCAACCCTCTCACTCGTGCGCCACAGTAGTGCTGGTCTACCATCTATCACACGCCGTGTCAGTAGTACTGGTCAGTGACAGTCGCATTTCCAGGAAAAAATGTAGGTCACGGCGTCGTCAAGGCCGTTCCGCCATCTTTCACCGTCTTAAGACTTTGCACGAGGCACTTTGATAGCTTGTATCTCCGCAACCGATTGAGATATCGGTATGAAACAAAGACGAGCTTCAACGGAAGGCTTCCCTCTGTCGATAGAGCGTACTTTGAAGGCGAAATTTTTAATTTCTTTGAAGATATTTCGAGTAGAATTAGAAAGTATTCTCGTGACATTGTACTACGCTTATTCTCTGCGATTTAATCTTATCGCGGGCGATCTGACGTGGATGAACTTGAAGCTTTAAGAGTTAAACTTCGGGAGTTGAATTTGACAAGTGTACAGTATCGTTAAAAACACCTGGAGAAAGGCTGGATTATCCATGTGATATTTTCGTTTCGGTGTAAAAGCTTGCCAATAGAATTGACAAGTATAAGGTGCAAGTGAAATTGAAATGAAAAATCCAAGAGAATGCGAGTCTTTTCTTAACCGGCGTACATTAAGGCTCAAGGGATATGGCAATTTATTTGATCTCACGATTTCACGCTTGTAGCATCGACAACAACGAACGTGCGAAACGTGTGCTTCTCTCGTCGAAAGCACTTCACTAAGCTGATGCTTATAGTGGAACACGTATTTTATGCTGATCTCCGTACGAATTAATAAATGCTTTCAAATATTCAAGATGAAAATATTCTTCTATATACGTATCTATGTTCGTTTCAATGTTTTATTTGGTGAAACTCTTTTTCAATTAGAGAACTACGTCCGATCGAAACGTATAAGTTCCATTAAACCTGGTATTTTCGCAGTGGCTTTTCTCCCCTAGATAGATATTTTTTCTCTCTAACTTTTTTTCCCACCTCTCTCCCTACCCCCTCCTCTCTCGCCGAACGAAATGCAAAGAAAAATAGATACGCACGCGCGCTCACGTGCTTTTTTTCTTTTTTTTTTTTTTTTTTTTTTTTTTTGTATTTTTACACAACGCGAAAGGCGAACAGCGAATGGAACGCCGATTCAGGGAAAAGTTTTCGTATATCCGCGACGTGACGCGTGTTATTTACAATCGGTAGTTTCAACGTTTGCTCGCATGGCAAATTGAAAATGAGTGTGCCACGTAGTTTACGCTTGTCACGTTGAGGTGGTGGGGGTAGGATTTTCATGTCGGCGAAACGCAGTTGATAGCCGCTTCTACTTGCGGAGCTCCCGGCCAGTAGTCAGCCGAGAATTTCTAGCGTCGGGATTTCTACCGTAATTTCCATTATGTCGTCTGTTATTATTATTATTAGTTTTCCATTGTCGGAGAGAACTGATGTTACAACGTCTCTTGTTTTCGTTTGAACGTATCTACACTTCCTATATAGAGGAATGGACTTTGTAATTAGAGTTTCCCATCAAATGTAGCGGAATGATGCACCGGCAAAACTGAGATGACGTTCCGCTAATGGCTTTATTCTCGTTTCGAATATTGCTCGCGAGACGCGAGCGACACGCGAGCTCGGAGCAGCTAACATAACAACTCCGGAACGAAACGGTTTTCGTTTCGGTAATAAAAGCGAAAAATCAATTTATCGCGCATTTAGCTGGAAAATGGAAATTGCAGCTGCGATCGCGGACTTTGAAATGACCGTTTTGAAAGCCAGAAAAGAGTACAATATTCTATAATGTTTCAGTGGTCTTTACTTCCTTTACTTCTTTCAGCAGTTTAACGAGCATTCGCCATTGGGAAACGTCTTATCAGTGGAATATGAGGAATATCACCTCTACAAAATGTACAGAATAGTCATATGGGTTATCATAATTTTGAGCTATAGTAATTCATGAACAAACACCTTCGTGAATATACATATACGTCTCATTTAAAATACAGAATATTAATTTTACAACTTAAAATTAGCTATTAACTATCTTTCAAAAAAAAAAAAAGAACGTACAGTATTTAAAAAATTGTCCAAAATTATTTCGTTTATTCTCTCTAGTCATTCTCAGCAAAATTGCACAACTTTGAAAAGTTTCAGAGAGCTCAGGTATAAAATAATTTTATTAATCATTCTACAAAGTCCTCTGTTTTAAATATTTGCAGATCTTTCAACTGTCCCTTCAAAATCCTGATCCACTCGTTAATCCCGACGAAAAGACATTGACATACCGCGTAGTACGACACACGTATGAGTATGACACACGCGACAATCCGTTGAAGTTATCCTTCAGGATCCCCCTGATTCACGCGATGATCGATCGAACGACACGTCACGACGCACTCACTCACGCACGCTGCATCCCACTAACAGATAATTCTGTTTATTACAGATAAACTCCGGATGGTCGTTGGGGCCTGAGCTTTGCGACATGTGGACCAGCAGCGACGTTCTCTGCTGCACTGCCTCGATATTGCATCTGGTGGCTATCGCGGTCGACAGATATTGGGCAGTCACCGATCTCAATTATATACAGGTTAATTAACACTGTCGCGGTCTGTGCAGGTAGAGTTCCTGCAGAGGGACTAGAACGGCAACGAATGACGAACTTACGTCACGATCGCGTGGGCTGTGCACCCCGGAGGGATGACAGTATCGAGGAACAGATTAGGAGACGGAAGTGGAAACGCTCGTATATTGATCCCCTAGAACACGGGTAGCTCCGATAATCGAGCTCCGATGACCCGCTCGCCCTTTGTACCATCAGAGATCATTAAAGTCGACGACGCAATTAGCACAGGGTTATTGCGTGTACATTTCGCGACGGTTTGCTTCCCTCCCCCTTTTTCACGCTGCTGGATTCCATTGAACTCGCGCGCCGTGTCGCGAGGCAACGCGTGATTTACTCTGTATAGCGTAATTGTCGAAGGAATTGGGAATTTGTGTAATGTGAAACTGTGATTTCTCCTTTTTCATTTAAAACGTTACACAAGAGTTTCGTCGTTCAAGGAAAGAAGACACTGAAGCTAAATGGAAAGTTATCGTTATCACAGATCCTTGTTATTAACAGCGTCTCGTATTAATAAATGCTTTCAAGTATACGCACTTAGTTGACCCAATAGTTTTGATTTTCAAGGGTTATATCTCATGTAAATTCTATTTTGAGGATGGTTCGAAATTTCTGACTGGTGTCTGATAATCAATCCCCTGTGCTATCACTGACAGTCAATAACTAATCGAAATCCTAAATCCCATGATATCCCGCCGCCCGCATGTTCGGCTGCTCTCGGAATCCGAGATTTAGAATCGTGACGTTGCTTGTTGCAATCCGGTAAGCTGATTGTCTCGAACCAATGAGGCTACGGATTACTTTCGCTTTAATCGCGGGAATATTAAATTCGTCGGGGAAATTCGCGAAAGACGAGCGTTTTCATTTTTCAAAGGAAAGAGAAATTAGAATCGTCGTGCAGAAATCAGACTTTTGATTTCATTACGTCTCTCCTCAGCCCGATATTTTTGCTTCTTGGAAATTTAAAATTGATCCGTTTTGTTATTCGCCATTACTTTTCGTGCAGTCGCAGGTAGCACAGACGCGCAGACTTCCCTGACCTCGATCCGAATATTAATCTCGAGCGCACGGGCGTTATAAAAATATTTTCGAGAGAAAAAGTAATCGCGGAGTTATGAGGACTCGCCAGTTCCCACCGAGGTGGGACAGCCGGTGAAAGAATTTCTTTACTTCCAGGCGAGGAATCCACGGCGGATCGGTATGTTGATCGTCGCCGTCTGGGTGGTGTCCTTAGGAATCTCGTTGGCGCCTCAACTTGGCTGGAAGGATCCTCATTACTTGGAACGTATAGCGGACGGGACGTGTCTCGTATCACAGGATCCTGCATACCAGGTACATGCTCCCTGATAAATCAGAATCTTGCCCAAGTTATTTCGAAATTACATCTGTCGGCTTTATTAATCTATTACGAGCGAATCTGACGACGCTGGTTTTTTAATTAATTCGACGTAAGATTACTTTTTTTCTTTCTATCTCCAATATACTATATCGGGCTAAATAAGATTTTTGCGAATGTTCGATCGAAAGATAGCGTGTTAAAATTCCATTGTGTCTCGATACGAAATTGCCAGATCAAGATGATTCAAGAAGTGGAACTTTTAAAGTAACGTGGAGCGTTTATTTTGAAAATGGTGTAGTTTCTTTCCGAGAAAATGTTTTCATTCGCCAGACTTACAGACATGTAATTTGAGTGAATCTGTCTCAGTTGTTTCAATCGATTGGAATTTCGTCGTTGAATGAAAATTTTTAGAATGATATTCAGGGGGATGTTTAACGGTGAGAATTTCTTAAAATACATTGCAGATTTTCGCCACTTGCACCACGTTCTATCTACCCCTGCTGGTTATTCTATTCCTGTACTGGAGGATATTTCAGGCGGCACGAAAGCGAATCAGAAAGAGACCGGGAACTATCGTGCAACCACCCCGTGAAAGAAGAGGCATCCTTACACTCGTCACAAGAAGGTTTCGCTTCTCCTGCCCACTCCACCCCCTCTTGCCCATCTCCCTTCCTCCCAGCCAAAGAACTCTGAATAGATACACGGTTTGCGAGACTCGTTAGCGGCCGCGCCTTAACTTCATCCTTCCTCCATTCTCGTGATTTTCACGAGGAAACCCGTTTCTTGCGCGCCGCAAGACTAATTACGTTGCTGAACCGGCGGCTACAGCTGGTTAACATTACGTTACGTTACGCTACGTCACGTCACGTCACGTTGATTTTAATCATCACAGCAAAAAAAAAGTCTCGGTGAAATGCACGTTGTTGGCCGGTAAGTGCGTGGGCGCTTTAAACGCTGCATTTAGGCAGCGAAGATACGCGAATTAATTTTCACCAGTTAATTAAGATTCCCATCCGGTAAGAACAATTGAAATAGAGAAAGAATTAGGTACTGAAACTATGAAAAATAAAATATATGCGTCAATGAATTACAGAATTACAGAGACAACTTTAATTCTCATTTGTCAGGCGACTAAACTTTAATTAACCGAACCAAAATGAGCCAGTTAATTAACCAGACCAGAAACGACCGATTAGACTGTCAGACTACTTGTCAGAGTAGTACAGGATATTTCCACTTAAATCTTAGACCGCTGAATTACAAGTACAGAATTGAAGAGATGATTTTTCATCTGTAATTTCCGAAGAAAAAATCGTCACGTACGGAAAGCGTCCACGCACTTTCGAGCGACACCCATCGCTCGAATAATTACCAATATTTCCATCGAATTTTCTGAAAGCAGAAAAAAAGAAAAAGGGTCGGAAGCAGCACGAACCTCCGCCTGATCAGAATTCCGCGTGAATTTCAGACCGAGGGAGGAGTCGACGGCGTTCACCATAACGAGATCCACGCCGGACCATTCGTCAATCTCGCCGGAGAAGTCGTCGTCGTACAACGGCGCGAACGCCACCCAGTCGACCACCGTGACACCGTCGGCGGTATCGACGACCACGACAACCACAACCACCACCGTGACGAACCCTTCTTGCAGCCACTCGACCACGTCGTCGAGCAAGAGGACACGCGAAACGATCGAGTCGAAACGCGAGAGGAAAGCGGCGAAAACGCTGGCGATAATCACCGGGGCGTTCGTTGCCTGTTGGTTGCCTTTCTTCTTGGTCGCGTTGCTACGTGCCACGTGCGAGGCCTGCGAGCCACCGGAGTTGATGGCAAGCGTCTTCCTGTGGCTGGGCTACTTCAACAGCACCCTGAACCCTGTGATATACACGGTATTTTCACCAGAGTTCAGGCAAGCCTTCAAGAGGATGCTCTGCGGTGGTTCCAGGATAATTCGCTGACAGTGGATATAAATTCGATTCGAAAAGAGAGAGAAAACAAAAAGAAAAAAAAAAGAAAGAAAGGGAAAAAAGAAAGAGTAAAACGCGACAAGAGTGATCGTCGATGGGCGTGAGTGCGTCGAAAGGGATGCGGATGGATGAACGACGAAAACGATCTCGTGTACATAAGACATTGTTAATTATTAATTCCTTACTCTCCTTTCGAATAGCGTTCGAAACACCTTATCCACGTATCTTAGGCAAACCTTAGAGAATCCGTGAAGCTTCTCCCTCCCTTGAAATTTCCCTTCCGGAACGATCGAACCGGTTTTCACTATCGTATGGATACTGGTCGCGTTTAACACTCTCGCTGCTACATTGCTACGAGGATAATTAACGATTTGATCGTCAATGGGATAAATTCTAAGCAATTCTGCTGACGCGATTCTCTGCATGTCGCGGAAGGGATTGGTCTTGTTCGTAGCAGCGGGCGTGTTGAAGATCCGCACGTGGTCAGTTTCCGAAAATGTTTCTCGCGCACCGAGAGACAACTATTTCTTAAATATAACGCCGCGTTACGCTCTTTATTCTAACGGCGAGAAAGAGAAAACGAAAAGAGAAAGGAAAACGAAGGACACTTTTATCTACTAACGTTTAGTTAACGACTGAAGGGAAGAAGAGGCGACGAGCGCCAAAAAATAGTTTCGAGCGGAACGAAGCGAATCAGAACGGGAATAACGAGGATGAAATCTCGGGGTGATGGATTATCCGGTGACCCAATTGAGATAGTCGCTCCACGACAGTCACTGTCGATTGTTTTAAGATTTCAATTGAAGCAACGTCCTCTGACAACGAGTGGAATTGTCTGCAAAAAGTCTTCTCTGCCTCGTTGTTAACGCGTTAACGGGCAGGGGACAAAGAAGTAAGAAAATTTCGCTCGATTCGCTGTACCTTAAACGGATTACTCGTGATTCAATTAGACGACGCACAATCCAACGATCTCTCGCGCTATCACACGCAACGTTGGAGCTGTTTTCACATTGTGCGTCCATCGAGACACACGTCGCCAAGGGAAGTTAATTAGAATCGATGAGTTTGCTCGAATACTGATTGCTCGAACCGTTCGAAACATTGGCGCCTACGCATGTATAAACGTTCTCATTCTTTTCGTTGCTGCTCATGAAATCGTTCTCTGCGACCGTCTCATATAAAGAGGGAAAATAAAATAGGGTTAGATAAAAAAAAAAAGAAAGAAAAAAATAAAGAATAAAAAGAAATGAAAAATATTAAAAAAAAAAAAAAAATGAAGAAGAAGAAATGGTACCGTAGTTCCCACCGATGTTCCATCGAGTTCTCATGGGTGAATCATAAATCACGCGTCATCGATGATGTCATCGTTAACGTCGTTCTATTGTAAATACTATGGCATTTCTATGATAAGCTATTCTTCCTCTCACTCTCTGAAGTACCGAATGTGAATCGGCGACGAAGAAGAGCGGCCAGGTGATTGCAGCTTGCGCCAGTTAGTTCGCATCGTTGTTCTCTCGAGGAATGTCGCGTTCGTTTGCTCACAACCTCGATTTTTGGCGCGAGACACGTCGGAAGAAATCATCTTCCACGCCCCTCTAATGTTCCACGATCGTGCGTACAAATCAAAACTACGTTCCCTTCAGAAAGCATTTAAGTATTATATACACGTATATTTTGTTTTCACGTATAGATTTCGTGAGTTTAGTGTGCAATTTTTTCCTACGATTGTTATTCTATTCTTTCTTTCTTGGATTTTTGAAGAGTAATTTTAGAAATTATGTTCACTCTGGTCTGTCATTCTGGATAGAATGTCTGTAGTTTCAGCTTTCTTTTTTTTATTACATACATCTTGTTAAAAATACTTTAAGCGATCCTGTTTTTTTGTTAGACTTGTCGCGCTTTTAATCCTTTACCTTCTTCCCGGATCTTTTCGTTAATATTTCTCTAATTAATTCTTTTGCACTTTTGCCGCAATCATTTTAATCAATTCTACCATTTCTCATTCTTTCCAGATCGCTTAGCATTTTCCTTTCGATTCTAGGAGCAAAAGTATTCCATCACCTTCTAGATACATAGGTTGTTTTTCTATCAACTTGCCCTAAACGAATCTCTCCTCTCTAGACACACGTTTAAAAAACAACAAGCAGCGACGTGTTCGTAAATCGTTGAAAGATTGTATCAACGATCGTCCAAAAACATCTTAACTATGTACGAAGCTTCTTTCTTTCTTTTTTGGATTTTTCGAGAGTAATTTTAGAAATTATGTTCACTCTGGTCTGTCATTCTGGATAGAATGTCTGTAGTTTCAGCTTTCTTTTTTTTATTACATACATTTTCTTAAAATACTTTAAGCGATCCTGTTTTTTGTTAGACTCTTCGCGCTTTTAATCTTTTACCTTCTTCCCGGATCTTTTCGTTAATATTTCTCTAATTAATTCTTTTGCACTTTTGCCGCAATCATTTTAATCAATTCTACCATTTCTCATTCTTTCCAGATCGCTTAGCAATTTCCTTTCGATTCTAGGAGCAAAAATATTCCATCACCTTCTAGATACATAGGTTGTTTTTCTATCGACTTGCCCTAAACGAGTCTGTCCTCTCTAGACACACGTTTAAAAAAACGACAAGCAGCGACGTGTTCGTAAATCGTCGAAAGATTGTATCAACGATCGTCCAATAACGCCTTAACTATGTACGAAGCGCATACGCTAGCGAGTTATCGTTCGTTGTGTCAGCGTTCGAGTGTGTGAACTTCGAACGATGCGACGATCGAAGTCAAATACCGATAAACGAAGGAAGGGAAAAGCGTATAACTAAAAAAGCGACCGATAGCACGTTCGTGCTATTTGTCCGACGATTTCATTAGCTTAAGATTGCGCTCGATTTCCGACGATGCAATATTAAAATAAACGAATTCGACGACAAGTTTCGTGGTGTTCGATTGTGCGGTGTGAGAGAAAACACACACGAAGAGAGAAGACACACACACACATACATACATATACACGCACAAACGCACGCGTACGTATTGAAAAAGACAGGCGAGAAGACACGACGAGGCGAGAAATGAAAAAAAAAAGAAAAAGAAAAGAAAAGATACCAGACTTTTACAACGATGCTTCGTATGTATATTATTTCTTTGCAATCACTGATGTAAATAAATGCAACAGTTTGAAAACGGTCGGCTGAGTCGCTCAGCTGACGTCAGCTTGATATTCTATGCTTTGCTTCCTCCTCTCTTTCTCTCTCTCTCTCTCTCTCTCTCTTTTGATTATTTTTGTTCTTTACGGAAAAACTGTTTATCAACGCGGCGGAAAAGCAGGAAATCTCCGTTCTCGTGGACGTGTTGTCGCGGATCCTTGGCTCGTTGGTTTAACGAACGAATTGTTCGACAAGTGTTACGACCAATTTCAGCATCGAGCATGCCGACGTACGATAATTACTAACGACGACCGTCAATATAACTGAGTATAACGAACGTTGCCCGACGTAATTGGACGATTAGGGCGAGAGAAAAAGTCTGACGAAAATGTTGCACGTCTCTCTCTCTCTCTCTCGAGATATCTGCATAGACTGCTCCTAATCAGCAATCCGCGATATTGACAATATAATACTCGACGGCTCGTTTAAAACTCCAACTATAAGAGATCTTTCTCGTATCACAACAAACCATAACTACGTGTGGTTTGATAAAAATTGTTATTTGATTCTGCGTGGTACACAAGCGTAGAGATAGGTGTTTCCTGTAATTTCTATCGACATCGAACCTATCGGCTCGAGAACAAATATAGAGGGAACGTCGATACGAAAATCATCGGGGGCCAGCAGTTAATAGCGATATCGCGTAACGCCTCCGTGATATAAAATTATCAGCCCGGCCATTTGGCTCCTCTGTAACAGTTCTCTGGAAATTCAAGTTCGGTAATTAGTATCGTTGCGAGCATTAACACCACGGGACGAGGATGTTGCTCGAAATTTGCCTGTACGTGAATAGCTTTGAATTTTCGCTTTGAATTTTCGACTCGTACGTGCAATTACGAATGTTGTGTAAAATCTGTTCATTAACCACGCAGATTCTGCTCGATGATTCTCGTCGACGTTGGGGCGACCATCGATTCTGGAAGTGACGCGGGTTTCTCGGAGTGTTCAACGAAGGAGTGCAAAGAATTTGGTAAAGTCTCGTTTGAAATTTCGTTGCTCGAGAGGGATGGCTTTTCGTTTACGATCTTGTGAATCAGCTAGGAGGATACTAACGAACATGAACGCCTCGGCGGATCCGTGTGTGGACTTCTATGAATATGCATGCGGCAACTGGCCGAGAACCGAGTCTCTTCCGTCCGGCGAGATTTGGCAGATGCGAGCGGCCTCCGACAGCGAGAACAAACGAAGAGTCGAAGGTAAACGCTCACGCCACCCACGTTTCGTAAGCTTCCCCTCGAAGATAACGAGCGAAGGATTTTGCAGAGATGTTGAACGCGGAGCTGCGTGGCGACGAGATTCCTCCGGTCAAAGTTGCCAAACAGTGGTACAAAACTTGCATGGACACAGGTAGACGATCAATCGATTTTGTATCGTTTCGTTTCACGGTGTAGAGAAGAATTGATTCGAAAAATAATGATAATAGAAATACCGAGTAGAGTAGCTGAAATTTTCGCCGTAAATCTTCAGATTTGGTCAAATTTTACGACGTAAAACGATTTTACGAGAATTTGAAAATTATGAACTTGCCGCGAGATACTAGGAATTTGTATGCAAAACAGCCTCGGAAACAACAGCTTCGTGGAACGTTGGAAATTTACGGGTTCTGTAAATCACGAAGTTTCCGTGAGAAACGAGAAACAAAAATGAAAAACAAAAACAAAAATATAGGAATTTATAAACTTCACAAACTGTAAAAATGCCCATGTAACGGGTAGGCGCTTCTGAAATTTTTAAACTGTCGGAATTCCTGCGAAAAGCTTCGTAAATTTTAGAAAATTTAAAATTTAACAGACGTCGTTAACAATTCATGGCAGCAAAGTACTACAAGTTGTACGTTGAAAAAATAATCGAAACAGAGTCGATAAATTTGCAGCAAAATCGTAGGGAAATGTGCACGTGTCTCGTCGATTCGATGATTCTCAACTGTTCGTAGAGAGCATGAATAAACGAGGTGTGCAGCCATTACTGTCAATACTGGATGAGATCGGTGGATGGCCGATAATAACCGGGCGAAACGAGTGGAACGAGAGTGGACAGAAATGGCAGAATATCGACGACTATTACGCTCATTTGCGCGGATTTCATTTGTTGCACGACGTCCGGGTCGCCACGTACGGCGCCAATGCCAGAGAGAAGACCGTGGTTGTAAGTGTCGTTGCGTCGTTTCTACGCAAACGATGCAAACAACTTTGCAAAATTCGTTTTGACAATTATTCTTTCAGCTGGACGTTCCCAGCATGCCACCGTATTCGTGGACGTTGTGGGAATTTTTCAATCCAGCTGACAATCAGACACTTGGCAGCATAAAAGATCTAAATTATTGGAAGTACAGCATGAGGATAGTTTCGAAAATAGCCGAGTCCGGAGGATTTCACGTGACGAAGGACGAGTTGGAAGAAGACATGAAAGAGATATTTAATTTCGAATGGAAATTATCGGAGGTTCTATAAGTTTCTAATTTTTTTTCTGAAGAAATCAGAGATTTTTCCTGTTGGCTGGAACTATATAATTTGCAGATGTCTAGTTTGGTTGATGATTACGTGAACATGACTGTGAGAGGGTTTCAGAGATGGTACGACAGCTTGAAACCGCGTACAGAGAACGCTAGAGTGAGTGTAATTTTGCTCGTGGTATTTTTTCGCGGGTTTCTTCAGTGACGAGAGAGAGAATTTTTTTTACAGATAAATTGGGTAGACAAAGTAACAGGGATTTTTAGAGAATCAGGTATCGATATCACTGAGGATACGGTGTTGAAAGTATCCTCACCCGGTTACTATGAAAAGTTAGTTCCCTTACTTGACGAAACTCCAAGTCGGATTGTAGGTAAGAGGTATTCGTGACTTTTTTGAAATTCATTCACTTATTGTTTTTACATATTCGTGAAATAGTGAATTATCTACACTGGAGCTTCGTTTCGTCGATGATCACAAAAACTACCGACGAGATGAGAGAACTGGACGAGAAGATGACCGAAAACGATTCGAACGAACAACAAAACAGGTTTTTATAATAAATCGCAGATTTTTACGTACGAACGTCTACATGTAGAAAAATTCCAAATGTCTTTCTCAGCTCGCGAGAAAGATTAAGAATTGACTTCGTAAAAAATGGGAAATTCCTAATTTCTCGCGAAAATGTGCAAATTTCTAAATTTCCTAGAAACGTCAAATATTCTTCTCCTTAATTATAATATAGACGGTCCACCGGCGAAAATTAAAGTCGCACGTTCGACGTGGAACCTGTCAAATAATTGGAATTCGTTATCTCTCATTAAATCGGACGCAATCGTGGAAAGTAGAGCAGCGACTCGGGTAAAATTCCGATATGGTGCAATTAAGATTATGGCGTGCACACGGGAGGCATTTGGTAGCCTCGTGGCGACACGTGGCGGCGATTTAATTTGAATTAGTCGTACGAATCAGCCACGGGCAACGCGATTATTTTCGAATTATTCGCAGGTCGGACTTGTGCATCAAGGAGGCGGAAATAGCGGATGTCGTCGCGTACGAATACGCGAGAAGATATTTCTCCGGCGACGTGGTGAAAATGGTAAAATTTCGTTGAATGAAAAGAGAAAAGAAAAAGAACGAATTTCGAGTTTACACGTACAAAGTGTTCGAGTTAGAATGCAAATGTTTAACTTACTGATGTTGAACTAGACGTTGAACGCGTTGGATGACATGGAGGAGGAAATGAAGATCGAGATCGGAGAGTCGAATTGGGCGAACAAGGAAATAAAAGACTTGGCACTGAGAAGAGTCAAATTTATAAAGAAGAATATCGGTTATCCGGATTGGTACAACAACGCCACCATCATGGAAAATTATTTTGAAAAGGTCTGTCGATTTCCTTTGCTCGCAGAGGCGACTGAAGATTGGAGGGATTTTGTGATTTTGTAATTTTCGTTGGCTTGCAGCTCGCGATGGGGCCGACGTATTTTGAAAATTCTCTGAGCTTTCAGAGATATTACAAGTTGAAAGAATTGCGTCTCCTGAAGCATAAAGACGCAGCAAAATCGTAAATATTCGTGTAACACAATGATTAATTATTAACATTTGAATTTACGTTGGAATTTTTACATCAATTGTAAAATATTACAATCGAATATTGAGCATATCTTTCTTATCTACAGATGGATTGTCGATCCTCTGACGATCAATGCGTTCTACTTGAGCGAATCGAATTCAATCAGTAAGTTCCATTAATTTCAACACAATACAAACCAATAATAAACCGACAAGGTTTCTCATTTTTATAATTACGCTCAGCCGTGCCACTGGCGAATCTACAGAAACCCTTTTTCAGCAAGAATCAGCCAAAGTACGTGTGAAAATCACTCGTCAATTTTTGTTCGATCGTTGAAAGTCTTTAATTGCAATATTTTTCCAACAGTACGATCAACTATGCGTTGACTGGATATTTATTAGCTCACGAATTGCATCATCCATTTGACGAGCTAAGTAAATAGCCTTGTCCAACAGAAATTTACATTGTTCTCGTAACTGTTTCGTTAACTTGGACATACTTTTAGAACGTCTTTTCAATGAACGCGGCGAGGAAATAAGCTGGCCAGAAGCAATGACTAAACAGTACTATAAGAGTGTCCAATGTTTCGTAGATCAATACGACAATTATACTTTAAATGGAACACCTTCTGGCCCAAAAGTGAAGGTAACAATCTATGATTCGTTTGTTCATAATTTACTCATTTATAAAGAGTCGTTAACAGAAAATTATGGCGTGATCGGTATCCGCGAAAAAAAAAACGTATTACTTATTTATGAAATTGTCAAAGTTTATTATTATTTTACAACGAGAAGTTGTTATCACGGCGATTATTTAACAGAATTATGGCAATCAGACGTTCGACGAAAATATGCCAGACACCATGGGACTGAAAACTGCTTTCAAAGCGTACAAACGAAGGGAAATTATGAACGGCGTACCAGAATTGAAATTACCCGGTTTGGGAATGTTCGATAACGATCAGCTTTTCTTCCTCTCGTCTGCTAATGTACGGATCCCAGTGAAAATGTCGAGTCTCCTAAGAAATCAGTTTAACAAACTTTCCATTATTTAATTATCTCTTTCATTTTTCAAGCTATGGTGCGAAACCAGAGATTCCGAGGCTATAGTTACAGAAGCGAAACTGGACATGCACAGTATCGGACGATTAAGATGCATTGGAGCCCTCTCGAACAATCAAGACTTCGCTGAAACATTTTCCTGCCCTCTGGGCAGCCCCATGAACCCCAAGAAAAAATGCAACATTTGGAAAATATAATACATCGTAATTCTTAAAACTTTCAACGAATAAAAATTCAGTGCGCAAGAAGACTGCCACTGTGAAAATGTAATAAAAATAAAGAGGGAAAGGAAACGTATTCCATAGCGAATAATTTATTTACGATTTGCTTTCGCCGTTTTACCGAACAATAATTCATCAATTTTTAACGCAAAAGCAAATTTATAACAACAAATTGAATTGGTCTTGAGAAATTTCTTTGAAGAAACTATCTGTAGAGAAATAATTTACACCATATAACAAACAATATTTGCAGAAACAAATTCCTTTAATACCTCCAAACTTTTATAAACTCGAGTTTGTTAAAAAATATGTTTCAATCAATTTTTTCTAATGTCTTCAAATAGATCTTTAAATAATCAAATCGATGATGAACTTTTCGTCCCAATTTTCATCAATCGTTGTTTTAAACCTTTATATTTCTTCATTGATGAAGGAATATACTGCCACGTTCAATTCAATAAATAATTCTCGAAGCAGATGTGTCCATATTTTTAAATTATAATTTTCATCAATAGTAGCGCTGCAGTACAAAATTTTCTTGAATCAATACGACAGGATGTGACACGAAAATGGTAAGAGGGTCCTGAAATCCCCAAATCGTTAGCCGAAAAAATACATTGTATGCTAAAGGTCTGTTCATATACTTCGTCTGTGCCTATGTCATACATTATTGCTGTGTTCCCGTTTCATACGCGACACGTATTACTTTCCTTAACGCACACCAGTGCAATCCTTGATACTGTGGCTATATTTAGATGTATGCTTTTAAGAAAGATGTAGGATGATGGTCAAGGTAGGACAAGGTCAAGCTAAGGTTACAAATGATATAAGAAGGTAGAGTTGACTCATGTACATTTCAGACTTGCCTCCAGATTCATCAACGGGGCCAATAGCGGCGACACTTACCCCAGACGTTCGGTTTGTTAGGAATCTTTAGGATGAGGAGGGACACGGTCACCCACCCTAGAGGTGTTACGCACGCTGCACGCTTAACCTTCAGATCATAGGCTAAGCGACATCAACTTGCAGCTTGTGGTGGTCGTATCCCATAAAACTTCTGCATTAAGTTGCAAATTTTCAAAAATTATTGAAAATAAAGTGTGTTTACATAAAAAAATGTAAATAAACATAGGAAACCAAAATAAACAACCAAAAAAATGTAAATAAACATTGGAAACGAAAATAAACACAACAATGTCTGCAAATAAAGCGAAATTTCAAAGTTTTCGAAATTCCGACCCCAAATTTTCGAAAATTTTTCAAAACAAAGAGTGTTTACATCAAAAAAATGTAAATAAACATTGAAAACCAAAATAAACAACCAAAAAAATGTAAATAAACATTGGAAACCAAAATAAACACACCAATGTTTGCAAACAAAGCAAAATTATGAAATTTTCGAAATTCCGAATTCAAATTTTCGAAAATTTTTCAAAACAAAGTGTGTTTACATCAAAAAAATGTAAATAAACATTGGAAACCAAAATAAACAAACAAAAAAATGTAAATAAACATTGGAAACCAAAATAAACACACAAATGTTTACAAACAAAGCGAAATTTCAAAGTTTCCGAAATTCAAATTTTCGAAAATTTTTCAAAACAAAGTGTGTTGTATCAAAAAAATATAAATAAACATTAGAAACCAAATAAACAACCAAAAAAATGTAAATAAACATTGGAAACCAAAATAAACACACTTATGTTTGAAAACAAAGCGAAATTTCAAGTTTTCGAAATTTCGACCTCAAATTTTCGTAAATTTTTCAAAACAAAGTGTGTTTACATGAAAAAATGTAAATAAACATTGGAAACCAAAATAAACAACCAAAAAAATGTAAATAAACATTGGAAACCAAAATAAACACACCAATGTTTGCAAACAAAGCAAAATTATGAAATTTT